AGCGATTGATCAATCTTCAATGCTAGGCAAATCCATAAATTATTGGCTTAATTTTGTGGATTTTCCTTATGGCCAACAAAACCTAGTATTCTTACAACCCGCTAATGATGGTCGTTTGCAATGCTTAAAGTTATTCATCATCATCATCATCTTGAGTGATTCCTTGAATACATCGTCTCTAATTTCCAAAATTTTTCTAGTTCGATTAATATGACGTTGTAGAGTATACATTCTTTAGGAAATAATTCGTTCTTGCAAAGCCTTCTTAATATCTCCACTTCCAGCAATCATTAGGACCGACCAACTTTTGATTGAACCAACATATGCCCTGATTCAATTCTTTGATATCTTGTAGACTAATAAATTTGAAAAAATAGTCAGTTCCAATCAATACGTCAGGTTTTTTCCAATAATTTGTTAAATTTTGAATTTGAAATTCATTTGATGTCTCCACTACCTGCAATTCGTTCGTTAGATAATCAATTATATTTGTTTGTAATGGTATGATTTCGATTTCGTTAGTTAGCACATTTACTTGTATGCGAGCAGTGGGACATGATTTCGGTTCCTTCATACCAAATGGAGCTATTCTCATAATTTGAGTTTCTGTTTCGGTTAATTTTAATTGACGTGATAATTTTTTGGAGATGAAGAAGAGTTGTGATCCAATATCAAATAATGCAAGGGCATTATGTTGTAGTTGAGGTTGTGTTGGATTAAAAACCTTCATCTCCTTACATAAAAGTAAAGTTTCCTTTGTCTGTTTGGATCGAGTTGCTAATGTCGAGTTATAGAGGGATCAAAATATCTTCTAGTGATATTGTTTTATCTGTAGAGAAATGATATGAATTAATGAAGTGATCAAAATATCATCTAGTGATATTGTAATATCTGTAGAGAAATGATATGAATTAATGAATTAACCAAATTTTTTTTAGTGATATTGTTTTATCTGCAGAAATGATATGAGTTAATGAATTAAAAATGTCTTCTAGTGATATTGTTATATCTGTAGAGAAATGGTTAATGAAGTAATCAAAATGTCTTCTGATCATATTGTTAAATCTGTAGAGAAATGGTAAGAGTTAATGACTTTATCAAATTATCGTCTAGTGATATTGTTATATCTGTAGAGAAATGGTATGAGTTAGTGAATTAATCAAAATATCTTCTAGTGATATTGTTATATCTGTAGAGAAACAGAACGAGCTAATGAATTAATCAAAATATCTTCTAGTGATATTGTTCTATTGGTATAGAAATGGTATGAGTTAATGAAGTAATCAAAACGTCTTCTAGTGATATTGTTATATCTGTAGAGAAATGGTGTGAGTTAATAAATTAAAATGTCTTCTAGTGATATTGTTATATTTGCAAAGAAATGGTATGAGTTAATGCAGTAATCAAAACGTCTTATAATGGCATCGTTATATTGGTGGAGAAATGGTATGAGTTAATGAACTAATCAAAACGTGTTCTAGTGATATTGTTTTATCAGTCGATAAGTGGCATGAATTAATAAATTTCACTTTTATTGATATTCTTATATCGACAGAGAAATGGTATGAGTTAATGAATTGATCAAAATGACTTCTAGTGATATTGTTCTATTGGAATAGAATTGGTATGAGTTAATGAAGTAATCAAAATATTTTCTAGTGATGTTGTTACATTTGCAGAGAAAAGGCATGAAATAATCAAAATGTCTTTTAGTGATATTGTTATATCTGTAGAGTAATGGCATGAATTGATCAAAATGTCTTCTAGTGATCGTGTTATATTTGCAGAGAAATGGCATCAAATAATCAAAATGTCTTCTAGTGATGTTGTTATATCTGCAGAGAAATGGTATCAGTTAATGAAGTAATCAAAATATCTTCAAGTAATCTTGTTATATTTGCAGTGAAATGGCATGAATTAATCCAAATGACTTTAGTGACAATGCTATATCTGCAAAGAAATGATATGAGTTAATGAATTAATCAAAATGTCTTCTAGTGATATTGTTATATCTGTAGAGAAATGGCATGAATTAATCAAAATGTCTTCTAGTGATCTTGTTATATTGGTAGAGAAATGGTAAGAGTTAATGAAGTAATCAAAATGTCTTTTAGTGATATTGTTATATTTGCAGAGAAATGGCATGAATTAATCAAAATGTCTTTTAGTGATATTGTTATATTTGCAGAGAAATGGTATGAATTAATCAAAATGTCTTCTAGTGATATTGTTATATCTGTGGAGAATAAGTATGAGTTAATGAATTAATCAAAATGTCTTCTAGTGTTCGTGTTATACTGGTAGGGAAATGGTATGAGTTAATGAATTATGCCTAATATGATATTGTTATATCTGTGAGGAATAATATGAGTTATTGAATTAATCAAAATTTCTTCTAGTGATCTTGTTATGATTGCAGAGAAATGCCATGAGTTAATCAAAATGTCTTCTAGTGATATTGTTATATTTGCAGAGAAATGGCATGAATTAATCAAAATGTCTTCTAGTGATATTGCTATATTTGCAGAGAAATGGCATGAATTAATCCAAATGACTTTAGTGACAATGCTATATCTGCAAAGAAATGATATGAGTTAATGAATTAATCAAAATACCTTACAGTGATATTGTTATATCTTTAGAGAAATGGTACGAGTTAATGAATTAATAAAAATATCTTCTTGTGATATTGTTATATCTGTAGAGATATGGTGTGAGTTAATGAATTAATCAAAATGTCTTCTAGTGATATTGTTATATCTGTAGAGAAATGGTGTGAGTTAATTTATTAATCAAATTATCTTCTTGTAATATTGTTATATTTGCAGAGAAATGGTATGAGTTAATGAAGTAATCAAAACGTATTCTAGCGATATTGTTATATTTGCAGAGAAGGGGAATGAATTAATCAAAATGTCTTCTAGTGATATTGTAATATCTGTAGAGAAATGATATGAGTTAATGAAGTAATCAAAATATCTTCTAGTGATCTTGTTGTATTGGAAGAGAAATGGTATGAGTTAATGAATTAATCAAAATGTCTTTTAGTGATATTGTTATATCTGCAGAGAAATGGTATGAGTTAATGAATTATTCGAAATGTCTTCTAGTCTTTCCAGCACACTGGACTGGCCGTCGTTTTACAAGGTCTAGTCCGACCTAGACTCAGGGGTACCGAGCTCGAATTCTGGCGTAATAGCGAAGAGGCCCGCACCGATCGCCCTTCCCAACAGTTGCGCAGCCTGAATGGCGAATGGCGCCTGATGCGGTATTTTCTCCTTACGCATCTGTGCGGTATTTCACACCGCATATGGTGCACTCTCAGTACAATCTGCTCTGATGCCGCATAGTTAAGCCAGCCCCGACACCCGCCAACACCCGCTGACGCGCCCTGACGGGCTTGTCTGCTCCCGGCATCCGCTTACAGACAAGCTGTGACCGTCTCCGGGAGCTGCATGTGTCAGAGGTTTTCACCGTCATCACCGAAACGCGCGAGACGAAAGGGCCTCGTGATACGCCTATTTTTATAGGTTAATGTCATGATAATAATGGTTTCTTAGACGTCAGGTGGCACTTTTCGGGGAAATGTGCGCGGAACCCCTATTTGTTTATTTTTCTAAATACATTCAAATATGTATCCGCTCATGAGACAATAACCCTGATAAATGCTTCAATAATATTGAAAAAGGAAGAGTATGAGTATTCAACATTTCCGTGTCGCCCTTATTCCCTTTTTTGCGGCATTTTGCCTTCCTGTTTTTGCTCACCCAGAAACGCTGGTGAAAGTAAAAGATGCTGAAGATCAGTTGGGTGCACGAGTGGGTTACATCGAACTGGATCTCAACAGCGGTAAGATCCTTGAGAGTTTTCGCCCCGAAGAACGTTTTCCAATGATGAGCACTTTTAAAGTTCTGCTATGTGGCGCGGTATTATCCCGTATTGACGCCGGGCAAGAGCAACTCGGTCGCCGCATACACTATTCTCAGAATGACTTGGTTGAGTACTCACCAGTCACAGAAAAGCATCTTACGGATGGCATGACAGTAAGAGAATTATGCAGTGCTGCCATAACCATGAGTGATAACACTGCGGCCAACTTACTTCTGACAACGATCGGAGGACCGAAGGAGCTAACCGCTTTTTTGCACAACATGGGGCAGGCGGGCACCAAAAAAGGAGACCCCAAAACCCCGCCCTTTTTTTTTTTTGCCCCACAACAAAATTTGTGGGGGGG